ATATTAGTGATTAATTTATATTTGTGAGTGAATATTTTATTATTTTTAAGTTTTGTTATAATAAGAGTTAAAAGCAGATGATTGTAGAAGGTTTTGTTAATAACTAATTGGTGTCGAGAATATAGAAAGTGGCCAGACGACTATGTAATAAAGATATAAATAGCGTGATATAACAGGAAACAGCAGACAGACAGTATTAGACAGATAAAATATATATATATCAAAGCGAAATTCTAAAGTAATTTGAGTCAGCCTGAATGCACTTTGACAAAAGGAACATAGGATCTTTAGAAGAAAGAAGACCACAATCGTAAGTGAATCACACCAGACTAATATTGCAATAGTATTAGAGAAAATAGTTTGGCTTGTCAACTGAGATTCTAAAGTAATTGAGCAGGCCTAAATGGATTTTTGACAAGAAGAGGAGAACTATACATATATAACTGATATAACGTTTACGATATGTTTATATTCTCTATATTGTGAACACTTTTATTGTATATGCATTTAACTTTCTCCAAATATATACATTACTTGAAAATAAGTAAAATGTGTGCTGTTTATTTATCCTTGAATTTATCCCTAACAAGTCACAGACACCTACTGTAGAAAAATCCTTAGCCCAACAACTACATAGTATATATTTATACTATTAAGAAATATAAGTAAAAGCCATTTATTTCGACAATTGGCAAAAAAAAACAGAACCCATATACATATATAATATTATTTTTTTAATCTTACAGCTGTATTTGGGTCTAAAAAAATTAATTTCTGTTTGGAAGAAAGCATTGATCACAATACTTCAAACTCTCCAGTGATATAAGAGGTTTTCTCTCATAAATAACTTAGAAAGAATAACAGAATTGTGTAGAGGAAATGTAGAGCTTTCAATTGGTTATAAACTTGTAGGTATAGAAAGCAGGCATAGATAAATAAATTTTCTCAAATGATGAAGTGGTGGATTCAATAAATGTTATGATATCTCAGCAAATAGAAAAGATAGGAGGCTCTTATTGTATATTCTAGCTTGCTAATATTGGAAATTTGGGTTTATAATTGCTATGAAACTAAAGACGTTGTATTGTGGGTGCCATAAAATTTAATCTGACCAAACCTAGAAGATGGCGTACCAGTGAAACACACAAATTTCGGTATTTAGCTTTTTTTATATATGTGTATATTTACTTTAAAATTAAGAAATTAAATAATGTATAATACTAAAATTTTAATTATACTCTACAATTTGATAGTAAAATAGTTTAATTAAATTTTGAATGTAACTCAGTAACACTTTATGACATGTACAGAAAGGAATTTAAAAATGGTACTGGACATTACATGGTTAATTTTCTGAGATGTTTCTTTGGAGCTTACAGTGTGGATTTTTCTACTTCCACTCGTAGTTATCATAAATTCTGAGTTCCAATAACTACCACTGCTGTTCCTACTGTAGTTAACCTTAATTTGTCTATAGTGGCTTCAGGTCTGCGGTTATTGGTGGAAGACATTACAGTCTTGGTTCAACAAGACTTGGCCTTCTGATTCACCTGAAGATCATCCTGTCATGCCTTTTTTTCAAGAGTACTTGAAGAAGAGGACAATGAGTTTGACAGCCTGTTTCCTCCCTCATTCCTATGCTACACAGTCATGTTTAGCTCCAGTGAATGTGATACACCTAGACCTCCTTCTCCTTTCCTGGAGTTGATCAACCAGGTTTGTTATGGTTTATCTTTGTCTCCCATTTTCTTTAATTCCTCCATTTCCCTTGTAAGTGAGACAACTTCTGGCCTATATCTTGTCCTTCCCCCTTCAATGGATATTGGGGTTCATACCATTAGGTTTGTGAACCAATTACATTCTGGGGTCAGTGTGCCTTGACCCTATACATAATATGGAAGCTCACACTTTGGCTTACCATCAGTCTTTGTTTCCTTTTTTGGATATGTTCATGCCAGCATATGGACCATTCCCCATACATTTATCTCACATCAACTTCATCATCTGGCTGTTTCCTGCTCTACAGGTTATCATCTACCTTCTCTTGCCATCTTCAGCTCCACCATTTCTCTATGAATGAGTAGGTGCTCTTTTTTTCCACTATTTATTTTTACAGGGGCCTTTCTTATACATACAGATTCTCCTTAGTGGCAAGTGTTGCCTGAACAGATGTACTTATTTCTAAACTTCCGCTGTATGACCATTCAGGTCAATAATGCCCACTGTTAAGATGGAGTGCTCTGCAAGTCCACTTGTAGGTTTTTCTTTGCAGTGTTTTGCATCATAAATATGTTTTATCTGGACCATACACTCATGGACTACCATGAATAAAGCAGAGGGGGATTGCTGTCTATCCCAGCTGCTCCTTGGTTTGGCTGTATCAGGAAGAATCTGCTTTTCAAAATAAGGTTTTTGCAGTCACCTGTTGCACTTCCTCCAGTGTTGCATTCCTCTGTACTCTCCCACACATTTTTCTAGTGGAGTATGGGAGTCCTTGCCAATTACCAGCTCCTAGCTGCTGGGGTGATGGGCCATTGAGACTTCCTCCTGAGTGTGCTCAATTCCACTTGATTGAAAGTAGGATGGTGGTGTTTTGCCAGTGTAGATGATGTATGGACACTCCTCTTACCACAAACCTGATGTACTGTTCTAGATACCAACAGGTTATGGACTAAATGATTTCTGCCACAATGCAGTTAGACCCTCTGGCTGTGTACCCTCCTTCTCACCATCGCCTGTATGTCGGTACTTGGAGGTACTGGTGTTGGTTGGAGCTGAACCTGCCACATAATTCCTCACATATGAGTTTGAGGTTGATATTCCCTTAATGGTCTGCTGCACCCTAGCCACTCTACACCAGGGGTACCTTCATTTAATTTTGGGGTCCCTCCTGTGTTTCCGCCCTTCTTGCAATACATCATTTTCACAGGCAAAGAGTATATCTGTCTCAGAAGTTGAGTCTTACATACTCTTTATTCAAACACCCCATGGGCTTCCTGAATGGAGTTCTTCCAGATAATGCTACACCTGTCCCTCCAACAGGTCATAGTGGGATTCTAGCTATTATGTAAGTGGAGGTAAGATATTGTATTGGAAGATAACATTTTCCTACACTGAAAATATATTTCTGATAGATTCTTACCTCCCACCCTTCCTCCACACTTCTGGTGTCTTTTCTTTTTATGTTGCTCAATCCTGAAGTGAAGTTGAGCTTAGCTGCATAGAAAGAGTCAGTTGTGCTAGGAGTTGTGTTGCACTCCTATTGGTGGAGGGTTGTCACATGCTCATTTGCATGCTATCATGCAGCTGCCACAAATGAAAACACGTGAGGCTAGGTGGAAGTATCAAGGCTAATCGCAAGTAAAAATTTGGTATATAGAGGGCAGTACAAGTTGAGAAAAGCTATCATGTGAGCCGATGTAAGAATCAGAAATACATTTTCAGTGTAAAAAAATGTTAACAAGTGTCATTAAAAGTCTTATTTTTGTCCTTATTTGCTACATCTTTTAATTTAATTTTTAACTTAAAAGTAATTATTAAAAAAACACAGATAAACATCGATTTTTGTGTGTAACGTGGTATGTTGAATGCAGCACTGGTTCAAATTATGTGTTTGTGAAGTCAAGATACTAAGTCTATAGTTTCATATGAATTAGAAACTCAAATTACAAGATATTGCTCACATAATAAATCAAACGCAGTGGCACCCCCATTCACCTCTTTCCATTTTTGGAAACACTCCCTTATATACACTTACTTCTATATATGACATGAATAACCAATCAGAAACTCAGAATGTCCCCCTAGAGGTTTTCTCAGCCTTTCTAACGTACCTAGGGACATTTCTTTCTTTTGAATCGAGATTTAAATGAGGTAGGTTGTGACTTTAGTCTGTTCGAAATTTCATACATCTTAGTTACTAAGCCTGATAAATTATAGTGGAATTCTATGGTATTAATGTAGTAATTTATTATTTTTTACTTATTCAAATATATATATATATATATATATAAAACCTAAAAAAAAAAAATATTTTGTTTCATATCCTCCATGTGCAATTTTTTTAAATGATTAGCGACCTACGTTAAGCAGCAAACGAGTACAAAGGTCATAACTAGAAGAGATAATTGTTTGCTTTACTTCTGTAGTTACTGTTCTATGTTTTAAGAAAAATAAGTTTAAGAACTTATATGAAAATAGCAATAATCTATATACATATATAATGATTAATAATTGAAATGTGACTGTATTTTACAAAATACTAGTCTACTAAAACACAGCCAAGACAGGTTAATTTGTAAAGACCAAAGGTCATTTTTATGTTATTGGATACGGTAACATGAGTACACATGTGCTGCATCATTCTAACTTCTGTACTGTTAGCCAAGCACAGCTGAAAGGTCAGTATAATAAATATACATAAATGTATAATGTTATGAGATTTAAGCTATTTAGTCTAAACATTTATGTTTTCATATTATAATTTGTGTTCATTCTAGAATGAAAGAGACATAACTTATATTTATTTCCTAATTTTTTATGGTGGTTGCAAGATTGGTCAAATCTACTGAACCTGTACAGAGATTAATTACTGAAAATAGCAGATAAAATATAAAATTTTTCTTAAACGTTTGAAAAGTATTTCGACATTATAAAGTTTTTGCATGTGAAATTTCAAAATTTTCTGATTCATAAAAGTATTTTTAAACTTAAAATGAATATTACTTTGCATGATACATCAGCAATATGCGAAAAGAAAAAAAGACATGAAAAAACATTGATTTATAAACTTTAAGATTTAATAAAAAAAAATATTTTGCATATGAAAGCATCGTAATGTTTACTGATAATCTGTCAGATTTTGTTAACTTTCACTTACTAATTTAAAAGTTATAGCAAGAAAACTATAACGAGCACAAAATGGTTACGAGATCGGTCCCAGGGACCTCGCCCATGCTGAAAGAGTTAATGGTTTAGGTAACTTTAGTTCCATGTTATTTGAACTTATAACTGAGTGAGATTAAGAATTCCTCCAATACAGCTGTGGTTGCTGACTTGTTGCTAGCAGAGAAAAAATAAAATTACTATCCTTACATTAAACTGTGAAAGAAAGCTCTTTTCATGTAAAAAAATTATTAAATTTCATTTATATTTTCATCTGTATATCTAAATATATTTAGCTATTTATTTTGTTGTTCTGAAAAACATTGAGAATAGATAATTACTTGTTTTAAGAAGTGTATGAGCTGTTACTGCTCTTGACCTTAATTTTCAGGCTCATTTTGTTTGTTGACTTGAATTGAGTACCAGGTGACAATTATAGGGTTTTTTTTCAATAGATGCTAACCCCTCATGTAGAGGTCAGTTGCCTTGGAAGAGTTAGAAGAGAGTTTCTTTATTGATGTTGCTAGTGGCATTTTGCTTAAACATCTGCCCATTCTGGTGTTTTTAAAAAAAAGTTAAATATATAGTTTCATGTGCATCTTACTTGTGATTAATTTTGTGAATGAAGGTTTTTTTACCTTCTTATATCAGATTCCTGTGTGGCACTGTCACTGCACATGAAACATGGCCCAATTCATTCATCAGACACTCCAACATTTGAGCGAATTCGACTTATTGGAACATTCCATACATGGAGACCATCATATACAGAAGGTTAGTATGGCATTTAACTCCTTAGTATATTTACTACATATAATTAAAATTTTCTAATTTTTTTAATATATCTAGTAATTAAGCCTCTTTATCATTAATGGAATTTTTGTGTGTTTTCCCCTTGATCTTTAAACCTGCACATGACATGCATATTTATGCATTTTTCTACATACTGGTATCTACCAGTTGTTTGTATTATGTTTTGTCATATGTATGTTCATGTACAGTGTTTGAACTTTTTATTTTGTTGCTTTCTATATTTGCTGTATTTTTTATGTAGCTTGAAACATCCAGTATGTGTTTGCCTTGTTAAGTATGATTATTTTGTACTTAGCTATTGGTTTTCTTACTTAATTTATAGAACTTTTAAAATCACTTGTTAGATAATTTATTTTTAGTATTTCACAGAGTTTTAACTATCAGATTCTTTGGTTTGAACACACTAAGTACTGTACTCCTCTATCATAAGCACTGAAGGTGCGGCTATGAAAGTTACTGAATTGAAGACTTGAGTTTGGTTTTTGTAACAGTGTGAATTATTTTATAGCAGATTTTTTGCCTCCATTCTTAATGTGTCTTATTTATATGTACTGTAAATGGTCGTTCACTAGAGCAGAACAGTTTCATACATAATGAAAAAAATAATGCTTCTTTCTCTTCTATACTTTAATGTTGATCTGTTATTTTGTACCAGACTGTTTTAATAAAAGGGTGATGTTTGAAGGTAATGATTAATATTGTTTTTTATTGTGTTTGTATGCTACTTATTTTCCAAAAGAAATTTTTTTTTCTTTACAATTTGAGGAAATAAGTAATTTGTTTTATTTGGTATGAGAAAATAACAATAATGAAATACAATATTTTTCATTAAGAAAAAGGAGCATCTCATGCTGTTTTCTCATTCAGATGTAATAATAATACTGGTGGCAATTACAGTAAAATAGGTTATACGTTACTCTAATAAGTAAAAAAAAAAAGTTTAAAATCAGTAATGTTCATTGTTTATAATAATTATTTGCTGTTTTTATAAAGCATATATTTGTTTTGTTTGGTATTTGAAAATATCATTCTATTCATTTATTGTTTTTAAAGAAATTATGATTACAAAATCTTTGCATTTTCTATGCACTGTTTTCACTCTTATCAGTTTGTCACACATGCAGTTTTTGCATTCCTCCATACATTGTTTACATTCTGATACTTCAATAGAACTTGTCATTTTTTATGGATTTGTAACATAGATCCTGATGACACCCGATCCAGCAGCATTAATTCACGGCTTAATTCTAATAGCATGGAGTGGAAGTCATGTTTCGTTGCCATGGCAAGACTACAAACACCACAGTTATTGAGGGAAATGACACTCTGTGACAACTTTAAAAATGAATTTACTTCACGCCACAGCATGGAATGGAAATTCCTCTTCTTGGATCATAGGTATGTAGAAGTGCTTATTACATTTATGTTAAAACCTTTCTAGAATATTACAAACAGTTCAGATTTTTCCTATAAGTAAGCCTGTGAAGTAGGAAGGAAACTCATAATAGTTTATAAGTGCATCTTGTTTACAGGTTTGAGTAAACTTTTTTTCAATTTTTCATGTGTTTTAATATGTTTACTTAGAATACTTGTGAACAGCACAAGTTGGAATCAATGTTAACTTGTATTCTTTCATTTTGATAGGGATGAGACAATTGTTTGATTGGATTTCGAATGATAGTGCAACATCCCATTTGATTGGCTTATGTATGTTGTCAAAGGTGTGCATGTGTATATTATTGCAAATGTATGCTCATAGTGTTAAGTTGTGTATGATCTTTTCTTTTTCCTCTTTGTACATAAAGTTGCAACTTCCTTATCCTTTCATGACTGGTTGGTCTTGTAAGTAATCACTAAACAGTCTATATTAAAGAGGTTGTTCTTTGATTATCTGATATCACTCGGTTTTGTTATTTTTGAGTTATGAACTTATTTGTGTTATTTTTATCATACTTCTGATTTAGGGCCAAGTGCATCCTAGTAGTTAGTTTGTTAGACTATGGAGCTGAGGTTCAGTGGTTCATGACCCATTACTGAAAAAAAAGTTATCCCTCTAGTCTGTCACTTAAAGTTAAGGATGACTAGCACAAGTAGCCCTTGTGTAGCTTTTTGTAAGATTCAACAAACAAATACTTCTGATTTAACCACTTCCTATTTTATTTCAGTTTTATATTCAAGGTTCCCACAGTCCTTGCAAATCAGGAAAAGCTGATAGAGGTACTTAAGTCCTTTTATTTTCTCCATACAGTGCAAAAATGTATATTTAGGAAATTCTGGCAATCAGTTTGGAAAGCTATGTGCAACTGCAGCCCTGCTCAGTTTCCCGTCACATAACACAAGTTAGGGGAACATTATTTTAATGGAATATCTGTAGAGTGGGAATCAGCCAATCAGAGGAGTTTTCACATTTTTCATTCGGTGCCTGAATCAAAAGTACAAATTTTGGACATTATTCACATAGTTTCATTCACTGTGAGAATTGTAGCGTTTCAATGACCTATTATGTTCGGGATTCCAGGACATCTGGCTCAACAAAGAGCAGTACAAAGGATAACTATTAAAAGATTTGAGAGATATTCATTTAGTACAGTGTAAAGCCTGTTGAAAAAAGTTTCAAGCTAGAGAGCATGTGTGAATCAGCCCTCGTCAAAGACATCCAAATGCAGCTGCAGGCAGACAATTATATACCCTAAATTTTACATGAAATTTCCAAAGTGTTTTGAATATGCATTTTTTAAAATGGAAAATTTGTGCACCTGGCAACCTGCAAATTTAAAAAATTAGGCCTAGTCTAGATCTAACACTAGGCTTATCCTACAGGCCTAACAGTAAAATATTAGTTAGGCATGGTTCTAAATAAGTATAAATCTAGCTTTAATCATCACAGAGGGACATAAATATTCAACATTTTTCAAAGCTTTCCAAATAACAGACAAGAACTGGTCATTTTACTCAAAAGTTGAGCAATCCGTTTGTAATAACCACGGTGTACATCTTATCAACATTGGCAGCTGTGAGCTACATATCGTGCATGGTGCATTCCAGAAGGGAGTGGAAATAAATTAGTCAGAGTGACAGGTTTACAGTTTGATCTGTGCATTCCACCAGCTATTGAAGGACAGTCAAGAATATGTATCCAAATCCTCGTACAAAATCCTTTGAAGTCATCAAACAATCCACCACAGATCCACTTTTGGCTGCAAAACTGAACTTATTGTGTCACTGAACAAGGAAGTGACACCATTCCTGACTCGATACCAGTCAGAAATGCCCATGATTCCATTTCTAGCCACAGATTTGTTCAAGTTCCTCAAGAAGCTGATGAACAGCTTCATGAAGCCAGACTTAATAAAGGAAGTCAAGTCTGTTGACAAACTTCTTGATGTTAAAATGGGTAAGGCTCCAAGATGAGAGTGAGGTTCTTGAAACATATGCTGACAAGCTGGCCCTGAAGACTGAGACCACTGGGAAGTTCACCTTTATTGCTAAAACCAACAACCTTTATCAAAGTGCAAAGGAAAAGAAAGTGACACTCAAAAAAGTGGAGCAAATGCTTTAAAAAAAACTGACTGATCTGAAAAGCAAATAAATGCATGTACATTATTATTATACTAGTATTCATATCAAGTCTGAAAATATTTTTCAAAATTGTCCATCCACCAGAGACCTTGGTTCTGTGCCTGGCAAATAGTATTATGGATTAAATAAAACATTTTTGCATTAGAAAGTAACCTTGTCAGGCCCCCCCCATTTTTGCTGTTCTTAGCAGTACTTGTTCTGCCTTCTCTTTCTTATTTACTTTGCTTACACTCAGTTTTATTGGGTCCTTGAATTTGTAGAAAAAGATACTTGAATTGTTTTTCTATATAAGTGTGGGAACCCTGTATATTATTTTTCAGTTATGAACTTATTTGTGTTGTCTTTATTTTACTTCTGGTTCAGGACCAATTGCATCCCAGTAGTTATTCTGTCAGGCTGAGGTTCTGTGGTTCATGTCCCATTACTGAAAAAAAAATTGAGCTATGCATTTTGGAGTTTTGCATTATAAGAGTGATTATTAAAACCCACTGTTCAGTCTGACGAGTAGCACAAGATTTGGATGTGGATAGTGTTGTCTAATAGTCTTCCCTCTAGTCTATTACTTCAAAATTAGCTTTATGCAAAATTCTACTAATAAATACTTATGATTTAACCATTGATTATATTCATTCTGATTTAACTTTTGTTAATTTATGTTTAACTCATTTTTATTTTTTTTATTTTGAATTTTTAGTTTCCCTGTGTACTGTAATTAATTTTATTTATGGTTATTTTACTTTCAATTTTGGAATTTTTGTAAACAAAAGATATATGTGGTAAGTGTTGTATGATGTCTGATCGTAGTAATGTTATCAATGGCATCCAAGTCTAAGGTCAAGATTATTTATGCAAGCATACACCTAAAGTATTTGGGTTTCCAAGACATTGTTTTAAGGCTAACAAAGAATTGTCCTGGATGAGAGGATAAGGGAGACAGACATAGTCTTCCTTTAATTATCATTGAAATTTACGTATTACATGTGTTGCTAGAGATTATGAATGGTCAAACTAAACAGATTCCAGCATATTTCCTCTGTCTGCTAATGGCAAGCTGTAAAAGTCAGCTAGTTGATTGTAATTGAGAATATATGATTATTTGTTCAGTTTAAATTTATAGGGTACAATTTGCTGTGATGTGTTAATAAAGGTTGGATTAATATTGTTTTTACTTGAAAAAACTTTTATCCAGTTTCTTTACTTCAGTGCTCTGATTAGCTTAGTAACTGTATACAACTTATCATAGAAGGCTTGTCTGACTTGTTGATAAACAGTTCTATCTGAAAATGTCATATACTAATGGTAGTGAAAAGTATATCAGCAAAGGTTAAAATATCATTTACTTTCTTCTGAGTGTACAGTAAGCCAGCAATACACAAACATTAATTATTTGAAAATTATCTTTTGAATAAGCTAACATCTTAAACAATTCAAGCTTCTCTTTAATGGTGAAAAAGGTACAACTTGATGTGTTCAGCTATTTTTGTGGTTGTATTTATAAAAAAGAATAATCATAACTTTGTCTCTCTGCATTTAACATTAAGTTATATAAAGTTGTTTTTAGATAAAGTAATAGCAGAACAAAAAAGATTGAAATGGATTTTTATCTGTGTATTACAGGGCTCCTCCTATTATTGGATATCTTCCTTTTGAGGTTTTGGGAACATGTGGCTATGATTATTACCATGTAGATGATCTAGACCAAATAGCAGCGTGTCATGAAGCATGTAAGTTTTCTGTCATATTCTATATTTATAAATTCTGCACTATTGGTAGTATTTATACCAAAGTGACTGGGGTTTCAGGTGAAACCAAGATGACGTAACATTGGTTAATCAAACAACTGATAATTAATCATGTAGTAAATCATAAAGTTTACTTACTTTGATATAGCTGAATTCTGAAGCCTTCTACATTTTTATGAGATAAGAAAGCAGTAGTTTCTTTTCAATTTTCAATTAGCATGTGCTTTCAGTGTTTTCATTTTTTAGATTACTGTCAGTATTTTAAGTGCCCCCCAGTGGCACAGCGGTATGTCTGTGGACTTACAACGCTAGAAACCGGGTTTCGATACCCGTGGTGGGCAGAGCACAGATAGCCCTTGTGTAGCTTTGTGCATAATTAAAAACAAACAGTATTTTAAGTATGTCTTCTTTTATGACATCATGTATGAAACCAACCTTTTCTTTGTATTAAGACGAATAACGATTTTGCAACATGTTAAACCAAACTTGTTTTTTGGTATTATAACTATAAAGAAACAACCACTGAAGACTGAGTACTTGAGAATGTTCATCTTTCATGAAGCAGGCTTTTAGCCAGCGATCCATCCACCTCTATTTTAGATGGACAGTTGTCTATCAAGATTGGCAAAAATATGAAATTTATTTTAGTGCAACTGAATTATATTTGTCTTTCTCCTTTACCATTTCATAAAGTATTTGATTTCTTCTGCTGTACTCTCATGTATTGTTTACAAGTATTGATGGACAATTAGTTTTTGACTGTAGCTGTTTCAAAGTTCGTGGTATGAAACAGTATTCCAACCATAACTGAGTTAAAAAGCAAATTCAAAGTTGAAATGAAATTAGAATTTATTTCCAAGCCAATTGTGAATGGGAATTTTTGAACAAGAACATAAGGGTGTCATTGATATCTTCCAGTTTCTTTTCATCTCACTGTAGCAATACTTAACCAAAGGGCAAACATACAAGACATTATCTAGTCTTGGCTTGCAAAATTTAATGGAATTTGTTCAGTATTTCTATTTTTTTATGTTGTGAAATTTCCAAAAATTTTGTTGTGAGACAGTTTTTAAAGAACATAAGTACTTCTTATCTCAAAACTTCAATTTTTTTTTATAGTTCTATTTCGTGTCCAGTCAGTTACTTATTAAGATATTTCTTTTGATGATTACAATTTCAGCTGTAAATCATAAAAAGCAAGTCAAAAACTAACAAAGAATTATCAGTTACCCTGAACTTCACCTTTCAAAATGGCATCACCATTACCTGTGTCAGACTAGATATGTTTTGCTCATGATACTTTTGGTCAAGATAATTTATATGTAACAAATAGCTTCTTTTCAATAAATTATAAGCTAATATATGTTGTTTGAATATGATAAACTAAAAAAAAAATATTCAATAAATAAGGATTTGAGTATTCAGAATATTTTTTGTTGCCACCTAAACTACGGTTGATTTGAATAAGCTACAGACATATCAACATTCAAAATTTCTTTTTTAATGATGAACTTAATCTTTTTGTGTGTGTGTTTGTGTGAACCAGAAGAAAATGTGATAATGACATGCAACTGAAATAAAGATCTGCAAGTATAAAATTCTTGATTTTGTTAAGCCTGGTATGGCCTGTAGGTTAGAGCAGTGGTTCTCAGCATGGACCATATGGGCCTCCAGGGGGGGCCACGCCATGTTTCTAAGGGGCCACACATGAGTGATGGAAAATTAGGGGGCCACAGTAAATTCTGAGTAGGCTACCGAAACTTCACTGCCTGAATAAAATATTTAAAATTGAATGAAAGTTTCCCTTTTCCCACAGCTCAGAAGTCAAGTTACCAAATGCGACTAGTACTCGAGTAACAATCAAAATGTTTGTCTGGTATCTGTGAATGTTTTTGACTGATTCTCAAGAGCAGCAGAGTGATATAACAACCAAAGCTAGATTCAAACGTGACAAACACTATTTCTGGATAAGTAGTGAAATAGCTAATAAGTTTCCACAGCTCTGGGAGAAGGCAAAGTTGTATTTTATTGCTTTTCCCACATCTTATCTGGTTTTAGTCGGGTGACTTATTTGCTATAAAAAATACATAACCACATTGATGATGTGAAGAGAGGTGATCTTCGCTTATCACTGACCACGCTGCAACCGGACATTCAAAAACTTTCAAGTGCTCATTAGGCCTAAGGATCACACTGAATAAAATGTTAATGATTAACAGAATATTTTTTACTTGTATAACTAAACAGTATGTTATAAACCAAATATATTATAAATCAACAATGTGGAAATGAAGTAACTTTTTTTCCTAAGTAATAGCATCTACGAAAGGTGGTGCCACAGAGATAAATCAAACTAAAAAGGTTGAGAAACACTGGATTAGAGCATTCAACCTAATTTACAAAGTCGTGAGATCAAACCCTTTTACCAAACATGATCACCCTTACAGTTGTGGGGGAGGTGTTGTAATGTGACAGTCAATTCCACTATTTATTAGTAGAGTTAGCAGTGAGTGGTGTTGAGTAACTAGTCTGTTACTTCAAAATTAGGATGGTTAGCATAGACAGCCGTTGGGTAGCTTTGTGCAAAATTCCACCAACAAACTTGATTTTATTTCATTTGCTAAACACATTAAAAAGGATAAGAATCAATGGATGTAAAAGCTGTTAGATATTTATTTATTACTTATTGGAAATGCACTAAAATGGATATCAGAGTTTCTAAAATTTAAACATTTTCATGGGGGAACATGCGCCGGACCCTTGTATAAAATTCACGCTTGAAGTACTCATTTTGTGCTTGCAGATCTTCATTACTTTGAAAAATTTGGATGACTAGTTTTCAGATCCTCATTAATACCCTGTTATGTGAAGCCATTTTTCTTTTTTATTAAGAAGAATTATTTTATATCTAAGTTATTACCTTGTTAACACAGCGGTTTTCCTCTTTTATGAATCAACAAATTGAACACCATAAAGACATATTTAGCATTTGTGATCAGTTAATTTCTATGTAATGTATGCCAGCTGCTTGACATTCATTTACTTTTGGAGGTCAAATTTGAATCATTATGAAAGTGCTTTTTTTATTGTAATATAAGTTCTCAAGCAGCCTCAGACTTTTCCCCACAATATTCCACAGAAACATCTCAGTTTAAAGACAGAGACGGAAACAAAATATGGACCTCAATATAAAATGTTTTTACATGTACAATGTGAGTGCTATATTGGGCATTAGCAAAATAGCAGGGGATAAAGTAGGTCACAAACTATAATCAGTTGATGTGAAATCTGATCTGCATAGTAAAACTAAGGAAAAGTAGATGCTAGTGCATGAAAGTAGCTGTAGGTGATGCTATCGGTTTTTAGTTGAAGAATACATGTACTTTTCATATGTTTACCATTTCAAAGAAAATTTAAGCTCACTAATCTTTCTGTATACTGTTGCAAGCTTTTATTAAATGGCATATTTTTGCAATATTATATTGATAAATTAACTTAAACTTTCTTGTGAAGCTATCTAAAAGAATTATTGTAAATAAAACTAAATTTAATAGTGGTTCAATTAATTAGCTTTTACCTGATATACTCACCACTATTGTTAATATTATCATTCATCATTATTATTAGTATGCACTTTTCACTTATTTCGGTATTTAAATGCATTCTGATAGCAACAAGTAAATAAAATATTTGTGTAGGTGATATATTAAAAAATTGTGCTGGTTATTACACTGCTAATCAATAAATCATGTAATATTTAATATAACTCAGGGTTTCATCAAAACCTAGTGCTCTTATTCTTAAGCCAAAATACATAGATAATACATGTACTTCTAAAAAGAACTGCATATGTGAAGGTCATAGCTGTGCACATTAAAAGACATTTCACACTACATTTATAATTTTCAGTAAGGGTTTTTTGTATGAAGCCTGGAAATTTAATGTACACCACCAGCTTCATTGCTTGAAAATCTTTGAATTTAAGAGTTTTTTTTAAAAAACCTTGGAAATATTCAGTAGTAAGAATGTTCATTCTTTAAATTAACCATTTTATTATTAAGATATCAAACAGACATATATAGCCAACATGAAATATTTAGAAACTTAATTTCAGTGACTAAATTTAAGGTAGTAAACAATAACTTGACACAGATATGTTTCATAAGGTTAAAGCAATGTTTAATCAAATGTAGAAAAATTTAGGATGTTGAGTGATATTTAAAAAGTGTAAGAGTTTAAGTACTTTGATTTAAAAAATTATGGAGAACTCTATTTAGAATGTAATATGTTTTGCATTGGTAAGATGAAGAGGAGGTTAAGTATTTGAATAATATAATGTGTGCAAGCCATTATGTTATAAATTAAACATTTTTGCCTAGGTTCTAGTTTATAAAAAACACAGTGCAAAAGTAAATTCTAGAGACTTCCTTTTTTGCTCAAAGATATAAACCAGCCATCAAGCATCCAAGAGTCTTTCTTGGTTTAATGGATTAGTCTGGAACTAATTGGTTGTTCTTTTGTTATTAACAATTATTGTTTTTTTTAAAGCTTTATAAATGTGTTTGTTGTTGTTTGATGATACCATGGTTCCAGTTTCTGTCCAATAAGAGAGCAGTTTGCTAGACATCTTAATAAGTAATGTGTTCCATGGGATAACCCATATAATTTTTGTTTTTTGTTGGTTTTGTTTGTTTAAATAGTTTGGGCTAGTGACTGACTGTTTTGTGCTCATTTAGAAAACTGAGAGACATACATACCAAAATTAAATTGGAGAAATATGTATTAACTAATTATGAATTAATATAAGTATTTGACTTAGTTTTAAAATAATTTATATCAATAAACTAGTATTTGAGCTGTACAGTTGCAATCCTTTTTATCATTATATGATGATGTTATGATTGAGTTCCCAACTGTGTATAATATCTGTGAAAGTGCTAAACAGTTGTTGTGTGTGTGTGTGTGTGTGTTTTTTTTGTTTTTTTTAATTCAGTTAAAAGCCAAGATATTTATATTCCTGTTACTTAGTTTTCTTCATGTACACTTTTGTAAGTGAAAGGCTTGATATTCATAATACAATTCACCCTGGAGTGAGTTGATTTGTTTTTTGTTTTTTTCACATTTCTCAAAATTAATACCTTGTAGATTTCAAATTTAAGGTGTATAAAAGTAGCATTTCAAATCCTTTTTTTTTTTTTATGAAAAATCACTGCCTGCGACTCTTTTCATTCAGTATCAGAACTTTGTAGCGGAACTGAATTGTAATGTCAACTAAAAACTAATATCATGATATTGAATGCCTAATTTTGCATGATATAGATTATGTTGAGCTGCAATTTTTTTTTTTTAAGGTCTCTTGGTTTTCAATGCTTCAGCTTTTGATCTTCAGTGACCTAACATCTTTGAAATTTATTGATGTTTTTGAGTATTATTAAAGTTTTGTAAACCTCTTTTTCTAAATTGTTTGTTGAATATACTTTCAAAATTTCAACCAAACCAGTGTTTAAGACAAGCAATAACAAATAATGTATTTGCTTTTAGTATTCAGTGAGAAATTGTAGAAATAAAAAATCAAAAGGGTGAAAACTCAAGTATTGCAACTTTTTCGTTTTTAACCACTATCAATTTTGTTTATTTCAAACATTTCACAACAACAAGAGTGGGCTAAGATCTTTTTGGCAGTCCTGTTTTTAAGATTACTACTGACATTGGCATTTGTTTCTTTTGTAAATGTTAGCAATTTATGGGAGGAAAGTCATAAATATGGATTCACCACAGATCACTGTACTACATTACCAAGTGTGAAAGGCCTGGCATGGCCAGGTGGTTAGGCCACTCGACTCGCAATCTGTGGGTCACGGGTTCGAATCCCCATCGTGCCAAACGTGCTCGCCCTTTCAGCTGTGGGGGCATTATAATGTGACAGTCAATCCCACTATTCGTTGATAAAAGAGTAGCCCAAGAGTTGGCGGTGGGTGGAGATGACTAGCTGCCTTCCCTCTAGTCTTACACTGCTAAATTAGGGATGGCTAGCGCAGATAGCCCTCGTGTAGCTTTGTGCAAAATTCAAAAACAAACAAACCAAGTGTGAAATATATTAACACTCTCACTGTGTGCTTGGTTAAATTAACTGAGTTCATGACCCCAAATTGACCTTTATAGTTTTCATACTATAAATTCTAATATGTTTTGTGTATCTTCACAAAATTTTACAATAAGAATCTTTAGTAGATTAAAAAATCAGAATTTTTAATTAAGTATTTTCACTAGAAAATTCTCCATGAATATATGGAGTCAAACTGTAGACTGCTGCAAGTGCAATGTTATTTTGATGTTAAGATTAAAAATACTTTTCATCTGAAAAATTTCAAATTTCAATTCGTAATCTCTAAAACCACCTGTATAAGTTTCAAACGTTTTTTGTTTTCAGTAAATCTTTATTTTACTGTTATTAATTTGTATGACCTCGTAACCACCAAAAATAAATCTAAATTACACAATTTTTTTAGAATGACATCAAACTGCATTTGTTTATTCTAAATAGCTTTAAACTTGTAAGAGTATACGTCGGTTTCTACATAAATTTTGTTTTATTGCTCTTTGAAATGTGTCTAACTAATATTCCCACCACACAAGTTATAAATCACTTGGTATATGTGTAGCTTATATTACCCTATTGAATTACATAATGCACAAGCTACTTGCAAGTTCTTTATGAGTATATCTTGGGAAAAAATTTTTATTATTATTATTTATTTTACCTTATATAACCTAAAAAATTTCTATTTTTACATTTTATTTACTTTTATATTATCAAATAAAAAATACACATGAAAAACAAGAAATAAAGTACTTATCTGGCTCTTCTTTTTTTTTGCGGTTGACTGTCAGTGAAACTTAATCCTACTTTTTTATACTAATAGTAATTTTTTATTTAATTAATTAATGCACCAAAGAACACAGAATAATAGCATGCAAAAAAACAGACAATGTTCTATAACTCAGTTTTTCTGACTATGCAACAAGAGCTGTTAAAATTCAACTAAGTTCATCAATGTGTTTCCCATGGGAATAAATATTGAACTGGAAGTGAAATAGACAATTCTCTGTACAAAAAACATTATAATACAATATTTCATATGACAAGGGTTGACAAAATTTATTACTTGTTTCAATTGCATTCATCCAGAAATCTTTGAAATGTATGTGTTAATAGGTTAAGTAAGCTTCTAATAGTCTACATAGATCTACATCTACACAACTGCCATTGTATTATTGAAGATGCAGAATGTCAAAGTAGAGAATTTTCATATCTTGTTTGTCGTGTGATAATACATCTGAAGTCTTAAGTAGTTTTTAAAGGTTTCTTTTGAAATAAAGGACTTAAAATTTAGATAACATGAAACTTCAAATTATGACATATGTTGTAATGTTAATTTAATTCACATAAATTGATAGTAAAGGTGTTTACTTAGATTTTGAATGTAACACTGTAACCTGTGCTGAAAAGTGTTTAAAGGGTACCCATAGTGGAAAGTCCAATATATTATTCATTTCTTTTTAAGTAGGAAGGCAGGGATTTACAGAAGTTGCTTGTAATAACACTGGACCTGGATGATTAACTTGATTATTCCAACTATCTAAGTTGTTTAAATATTGCCAAAAAGAGTTGATTGATTTCTCATTATTATTTTTGATTAATTAAGAGTTGTTCAGTTTATTTGATTGGTGACACAACTCACAAAAATAACCAACTAATCCTAATTAGCATTAATAAATATTGTTATTTTCTGATATTCCAAATATCCAAGTCTCATGTGAGAATAATTAATTAGTTGAATGTAATTGATTAATGAGACCAATGATTAATCAGTTAGTAAATTTTACTAAGTGCCCATTTCTAAGTAACACTTGTATAAAGGTCTTCCAATTATTAATTCACTTGCAGAAATTTCAGGGGCATCTGTTGATCACGGGGTTTTAATGCATCTGATATTTTTAACAGTTATTATTAATGGCAGTAAAAAGTTGAGTAGATATGTATTGTATTGATGTATTTATTAGTAACAGTTTGTCTGTTGACATTAAACAAAACTTTCATCATTGCATATAATTCCTAGGCTGGCAAATCTTGACCAATAAATCAATACTTTGTGTGATATTATATTACAATAAAATTAATAATAATTTTTAATAAATGTTTATTTTCTAGCCCAGTAGTTGACTTTATCATTTCTGTTGGGATATATTTGACAATGAAGAACTGATTAAATATATTTCTTATTAACTTTATTAAATTATCCTTAATTTTTTCAACTGGTAATATTCTTTTATATTATTTTTAGTAAGATATTTCAGAAATTCATGGATGAAAATAAGGCTTCCTTTCCCAACCCATGATATTTCATATGAAGATAAGTTAAAATGTGCTATTACTTTTTTCTTCATGAATTCTCTGAAGTATTCAGTTATTCACAAAACAAAATGAGTAAAATTCTTTATATATTTTTTTAGTATTTTATGTCCTTTTATAATCAATCTTATAAGTGAACTAATATTTTTTACTTGCTGTAGTACAGCAAAAATGCTGAACTAATAATTACTCAGTGTAAGTATTAATAATTTCCACCCCACAGTGACACAGCGGTATGTCTACAGACATACAACGCTAGAAACTTTACTACATTTTAGTCCTTGTAAGTTTGTCTGTCTATAGTATAAATGTATGTAGCTAATTGTTTAAATCAAAAGATATTGATAGGGTGCTAATATTAATTTTTGCACTTACCTCTCTTCAATTCTAGTGATGCAAACTGGAGAAGGAACATCATGTTACTATAGATTTCTAACCAAAGGTCAACAGTGGATATGGCTACAGACACGCTACTTTATTACTTATCACCAGTGGAATTCAAAGCCAGAGTTTATTGTCTGTACTCACAGTGTCATCAGGTGAAGTTATTTTACAATGTTCATAACACCTCACATCGGTCCTAGTATGACTGAACAGATTAATAGAAATTTATCTGTGTACTTGAGTTACACGCAACTTCAGTAACTTTAAAAGCAAGTTTAGGTACAGAAAACTACTAATTAATTGAAATATTTATTTGATTGAACTTAACTAACCTTAGAGCTCCCAGCATATTGCTTATAAAGCATACATGTATTTTCCATTGTACTCTATTTAGATGTGCTTATTAGGTGTTAGTAGTAAACGAAAATGAAACTAAATTTTTAATGTTCTAGATATAATACCATTTAATAAACTTAAATGTGTTATTTGTATATCCTGAGTTGCTAAAATGTTTCAATTTCAAGTACTAAGTTGAAGCATTTTGTGAAAGGTAATGGTACAATAACAGAAAAAGTACTTTACCATTGGTTTTTTAAACTTTTTATCTGATACTGTTACCTCTATAGAAGAAGGTTGATAGTGTGTTCATCTGAAAACTAAAAAAAAAAAAAAAAAACATTATATAATAATTTATCTTTGAAGTATTTATCAGTATCAGTTATGAAATATTTCTGTCATATCTTTTTGTTTTAAACTATCCATGACTAATGACTATGTAATTTTGATTCCATTACCTCTCTTGGTTCAAGATGTCTCAAGTTTTTGTTTGTTATATTTTTATGTTAATATTTTGTTTTGTATGTACTTCAAGGCTTTAGAGTCTAGACGATATTTAGGCTTTATGAATATAGTTGTTTTGATTGTACTTACATTTTCCATTCTCAGCACTTTTATGTCTGAAACCATGCAGAATTACTGCTTCTAAACGTAAATTTGTTTTTTTATCAATTATCAAGAGATAATGCAATATATTATTAGCATTTACCATTACGAAGAAATACATAGATATTTTGATTCAAGTGAAAAGAAAAAACAAAACACTGTTTATAACTTTCCCATTTGTAATTGATTATCATAAAAATCATAACTACAAAATCCCAAAATTATTTATTTATTAATACTCAACATTTTAGCTACCTTTTTCTCAACTTAACCCTTGAGAAAGGCATAAGCTGAAAAACTTGCAAATTTTATCTTATGATTTCTAATCTTCAGTCTGCATTTAAATATCTAAACTCTAATAATTATTTTTGAATTTAATACTTCACCTTAAATTACTTTTTAAATTCTTTATTAAGATTGCTTCTCAGTATGTGCAATTTAAAGTAAGTATATTGGGTAGTATGATCAGTTTTTCCCATTCAGATATTGATGGAACTATTAAAATTTAATTATGCTTTTAACTGAATTCTTTGACCCTCAGTGGGACAGTGGTGGGTGGTAAGTTTATGAACTTCCAATTCTAAAATCTGGGGGTTCTATTCCTTGCAGTGGACAAAGCAGATAGTCAAATATGGCTTTGCTCTAAAAGAAACAAACAATTAATTGAACTTTTGTTATAGATCTAATTGAATATACATATTTTTTGTTGTATAATTATTATATTATGATGTCCCAAATGTTCTTGGTTTAAATTCATGTGTTTCCTTTGCAATTAAATTGGCCTGTCATGGCCTGGTGGTTAGGGTGTTAAACTTCAATCTGTGAGTTGCAGGTTCAACACCCATCACCAAACATGCTCACTGTTTCAGTCTTAGGGGCATTATAATGTGACGGCCAATCCCACTATTTGTTAGCAATATAGTAATCCAAGAGTTGTTGACTAGTTGCTTTCCCTCTAGTCTATCACTTCAAAATTAGGGATAGCCAATTCTACAGATGTAACAGTAGCTTAAAAACCTATATTGATGTCATTATCAAGATTAATTGCAGGTGGCATCTATAACAGGCAGGCATTATCCTTACTAACACCACTACTAAGCATAAGGCTAACATTGTTGAATTAGATATTTTCCATTTATCTAACCTCTGTCCTTTTGCTGTAGTTCGTAAATGATCTACATGCTGTTGGAATTCATTAATACTCAATCCTGACTTCATAGAGGGTAAATTTTGAGTTTTTTCTGATATACCCGTCAGTTCCTTAAAATCTGCCTGTACATTTAAACTGTGAATTAAGGGTGATTCTTTCTTAGTTAATAATTCTTGCAGATCTGGGATTTTCACATTTAATTGAGTTCCTATGTATTTAGTTTCACTCCTAAAACTCAAGGGTAAGGTGATACCTTGACCATGTGCCGAACAATTTCTAGCTAATCTTGGGTAATCATTATCTCAGTTTAATTTAACTACTCTAGTTTAATAATCAAACTGATGTACATTTGATTTCGTGCATACCACTGATAAGGCAAGTTCATCCTGTATATTAAATATCCAAGTCCCTGGGGGTCCTTGTTTTATAGAAACAAAACAGTTTAGGGATAATTATTCTTTTTTCACATAACTCAGGTATTCTATTTTTAATTCCTGCAAATATTACTTAGTTACAAGTTCAATAGGCACTGAATAAATTCCTGAATTGGGGTCACATACTCCAATGGGTTCTTCTATACATCTCACCATATCTTCCTCCATCATTTCTAAATAATTATGCTGATCACTTGAAACAGCAATGTAAGATTTTTCATTCTATACATTTAAAGCCAGCGAATGGTTTAATGCTAATGGTAAGTGTACAATTCTATATAGATTAAACTTCCTATCTGTTACCTTCAAGAGTATCGTTATAAACATCCTCAAAGTATCCCCTACTGCAGCAGTTTTGACATCAGCCCAATAATACATGTCAATCTGATCACTATGCATAGGAATTACAAATTGTAGATGTGGGGGTAATCCCCTTTCAGTTTTGTCTAATATTCTTTCCAGTTTACTCGGGTTAGGAAGTATGAACTCAACTTTTTATCTGCAGCTACTTAACTAAATCCGTCCTGCTACTTTCTGCAGTAGAAGATAGTTGTTGTAAATTATTCTGAATCCTAGTGTTTCAAACTAATATTTCAATTTCTGCTTTGTGAAGCTTAGTCTGTCTTACTCTGGTATGTATCAATGTATTATTAATATTTACTAGCACTTTAGATATTTTCCTGATCTCTTGGTAATGAAATTCAGTTGATTGATTTAATTAATTCATTATAGTTACCTGTTCACTTATGAAGTTAATCATTTCCATAGATACCTGTCTCAATTGCTCTACCTTCTCATTCAGTTCGTGTAAATTGTCGGTGGGCACAATTGTGAATAATAATTTCAAAATGTTTCCACCTTCATTTATTAAACCACATATTTGTCGAGTTTGATCTGATATCAACACGCTATCTTTAATGTTATTTAATTCTAAAATCAAATCCCCTATCTCATCATAGTATCATCTAACTAATGTCTTGTAATTTTCAATTAACCCTTCCTGTAAGATTCTTGCTAACTATAAGATAGCTGTGTCTTATATGATAGAGCATTGTATTTTCCAAACTTTTTTCATTCGAAACTAATGCGAGTATTCACATCAATTGAATTCTTGAATATTACTAATTCTTCTCGTAAACGCACTAATAATCAAACATACAATTGAAACGGCATGTCTTTAACAATTATCCATTTATCTCCAGATAATATGAAATTTCCTTCATCAACAAAAAACCATACCTACCTTTTCTACTGGAACAATACTTACATTTTGTCCAGTCATGACTCCTGCCATCAGTAACGTAAGAATCCTGGTAAACCTATAGATATATCTACTAATAATACATGTAATTATAAATACTTAGTAGAACATATATAACATACATTAGCCATATACATATATAACTTATCCAACTTAATTTGATTACAGCTTCGTAAATAGTTTATCATATTATTGAAGACTTCTAATACACCCTCTCTTATGTTATTAACTACTTACTCATCTCCTTCTAGTTGTAGGGGTCACTTCTGGTTGAGTTTATATAGGACCACGTGATCTAAGGTTATAGTCATGGACCACTACATCAGCTTGTGTTGTCACTCATTATCCTCAGTTATTGGGGCACTACCTTCACTATCGCCACTATTTCCTCTGTTGTTATTACTTCATCTAACACGACGCTATCATCCACTAACTCTGGGATTTCTATCTCTGTCTGTATTATTTCCTCATCATCAAGAGATAAGTCAATTTGACTTGAGTTATCAGTTTCTACTGTTCTCATTTTGTTCATCTACCTTGGTTTCATCAGCTACACATTCATACTGATAAGGCTTATACTCCTTCACCTTCTTTAACCTGTTAACATGTACTAACTATTTACCCTTTCCATAGATCTCATGGATCTCAAAATTCACTGGAGTTGTTTATTTAAGAACTCTAAAAGGACCTTTCCATAATTTTGCTAGTTTTTTTAGTTCTTCCTTTCTTAACAATGGGAGTGTATGACAATACTTTGTCCACTAACCTTATTTCATTAGTTTGTGCTTTCTTATTTGCTTGCTTCTCTCTACACTCAGCAGCTTTAGTCAAATGTTCATCAGCTAACTCAAATGCTAACTGCATCTGCTGTAATAACTTTGCTTTATAGTCATAATCTATTGCATAATTCATTCTTTTATGGGCTAGTATTTCTTGCATAGGTAACATAACATCTCTACCATGTAATAGAAAGAACAGACTTTCCTGAGTAGACTTATTTCAGCACTTCTATAGGCCAATAATAACAAGGGGATCTGCTTGTCCCAAGTTTTCTGATCTTTCTCTCACTATTGAGAGATAATTTCTAACAAACTTCTATTGAATCTTTCTACTAAACCATTGGCAGCCAGGTGATAGGCTGTAGTCTCAATTTTTCTTATACCTAGTAACTCGCAAACTTCCTTCATTAACTTAGATATGAAGCTACTACCTCTGCCTGTTAGTAAATACTGTGGTATACCATGTCTAGCTATTATGTTATTCACAAATGCCTTTGAATATTGCCTCAGGAAACTGTGACTACTAACACATTTGTTTTCTGCATAGGATGTAGGCAATGGGCCTTAATATGTCCATAACTACTAACTG